AGACTCCGGAGTGCAGCGGTGCTATGTTCAAGTGCGCGAACGGCGCCTGTCTGCCCTGGGAGTACTACTGCGATGGGCGCGCCGACTGCGCCGACGCCAGCGACGAGCGCGGCTGCCGCGCGCCCCCGTCCCCGCCCCCGACAGACGCCCACGCCCCGCACCGGTACTAGCCCCGCCCCCACTCCGTATACAATACAAGGTCGTGTGACAAATAAGTTAGGCGAGAAATGAGTAACACGTTTGTGCGATTATGTTGTGTTGCAGCGGGCGAGGTAACGACACGGACCGACACGGCCTGTGCGAGGACCACGAGTTCCAGTGCGACAACCGGGAGTGCATTCGAATGGTCAGTGCTGTGCTCTGCTCTGCTCGACCGCTCGTCACAGTAATATCTTATAAAATACCTTATACGTTTTGGTAAATGTTGTGAAAAATATGTGTTGCGTGCAGGAGTTCCGCTGCGACTCTCGTGTGGACTGTCTCGACGGGTCGGACGAGGCGGAGTGCACGGCCACGCCCAGCCCGCCCCCGGCCACGCCCACCGCCACTCCCGCCGCCACCGGTCCCGCGGCTGGCGAGTGCTTGTCACCCGCGCTGCCGTGCGACGCGGGCGCGCGATGCGTGCCGCTGCCGCAGCTCTGCGACGGCGTACCCGACTGCGCTGACGGCGCGGACGAAGCTGACCGATGCGGTACTCACATAAACCGCTCGATTGTTAATAGGAGCAACAATAAACATTGTTAATAGGAGCAAGGAAGTCTACATTTTATGAAATGTACGTCGTGCAGGCGAGCCGATGTGCGAGGTTGCTGCGTGCTCGCACGGGTGCCAGGCGGCGCCCGGCGGGCCGGTGTGCACGTGCCCGCCGCCGCTGCACCTGCAGGCCGACGGTGTCACCTGCGCGCCGCGGCACGCCTGCGCCGACTGGGGCGTGTGCAGCCAGGTGCGCATACCGGGCCGCACACACGGGCACGTGCACTAGCACACAGTGACACGTGTCGCGCTTGTTGCAGACGTGCCGGCCGCACAAGAACCGCTACAAGTGCACCTGCTACGAGGGCTACCGGCTCGCCGACGACGGCTTCACTTGCAAGAGCACAGGTTATTGTTTATATTAATTAGAAATTAGAATGTTATTGTGATAATGATTAAATTTATGATATGTATGTCATGTTGGCGACAGAGACGGCGACTCCGCTGCTGGTGTTCAGCAACAGGCACGAGGTACGCGGCGTGCAGCTGCCTTCACTGGCGTCGCGCGCGCTCGTCGCCTCGCTCAAGAACACCATCGCGCTGGACTGGCGGCGCGACCCCGCCGACCCCGCGCACGTGCAACTGTACTGGACCGACGTCGTCGACGACAGCATCTACCGCGGCACGCTCGCCGGCACCGGTCGGTACCTACTACCCCTACTCCGCCCCGCTCCCCATGCAGCAGTACAGTGACGCGATATGATGTTGCGCAGCGCTGAGCGGCATCGAGGTTGTGGTGCAGCAGGGGCTGAGCGCGGCGGAGGGGCTCGCCGTGGACTGGGTGGCCGGCAACCTCTACTGGGTCGAGAGCAGCCTGCATCAGATCGAGGTAAAGCCCTCGGGAGTCCTATGTACCTTTTGGCGTCTGTCTTGTCGTATATTAAACTAAATTACTAGAATTAGACAGAGTTAGTTGCAGCGAGTTGAGGTACAATAACGAGGTGTTGGTGTGCAGGTGGCGCGTGCTGACGGCCGCTACCGACGCACGCTGCTCTCCGAGGACATGGAGAGCCCGCGCGCCATCGCCCTCGATCCTAGGAAGGGTAAGTAACTAACTGACCATACAGCAAGAAGCGACCACGCTGACCGCTTCCTCACCTACTAACAAACGATTCTCGCATAAAACGTTGTTATAATGTAATATTGGTCGATATTTTCAATGTTCTCCAACAACACAGCGGTGTGGTTCTGTGGGGTCTGACCATTTTCTTTAATGGCGTGTATTGGCTTTGGCAGGTTACCTGTTCTGGAGCGACTGGGAGGCTGAGGCGCCGCGCATCGAGCGGGCGTCGCTGGCGGGTCGCCGGCGCACGAGCGTGGTGCGCGTCGACGCGCTCAGCGACGGCGCCTGGCCCAACGGCATCGCGCTCGACCACCTCGCCGAGCGCCTCTACTGGGTCGACGCCAGGTACGCAGCGCCCCGTCCACGCCCCGCCCCGCCCCGCCCCACACCGCCCCGCCCGCACTGACGCCGCCCACCTGCAGGTCCGACTCCATCCACACGACGACATACGACGGCGGCGACTACCGCGAGGTGCTGCGCGGCCATCCCGCTCTCTCGCACCCCTTCGCCATCACGGTGTTCGAGTCGCACGTGTACTGGACGGATTGGCGCAGCAACAGCGTCGTGCGGGCCAGCAAATGGGACGGCTCCAACGTCACCGTCGTGCAGCGCACTCTCACCCAGCCCTTCGACGTTAAGGTACGTCCTCCGCCGCAGCACGGCTGGCGCACGTCGCGTTAGATGGGGAGTTTCGTATCGTTGATGTACCGAGTGCGGTGTCAGGTGATCCACCCGAGCCGGCAGCCGGCGGCGGCCAGCAACCCGTGCGGCGCGCGCAACGGCGGCTGTTCCCACCTCTGCCTCATCGACTCGCCCGAGACGCGGGTCTGCGCCTGCCCTCATCTCATGCGCCTCGCTGACGACCAAACCACCTGCGAGGGTAACAAAATCATCCTAGTTTTTCATAGATAGATTCATATAAAATATTTGTTTTGGAACATCGTTTTGATTGTAAATTATATATTATTTGAATGTTTGTACTCGCTCGGACTTGCCCCATTTTGAACCGTACCTATTTTGAATTGTAGGAACGCCACCGGCTCTTTTCTGACATCTACTTTAATTTCCTGTTGCACGTTACAGCGCACGAAAAGGTCCTACTGATAGGACGCGAGGGTGAGATCCGCGGCGTGGATGTGACCGCGCCCGCGGAGACGCTGGTGCCCACCATGGCCGGGCCCGACGTCTCCTCGCCCGCGCACATACATTACCTCGCCGCGGACTACCTCGTGTACTGGGCCGACACCGAGGTAGGCCCGCCCCGCCCCGCTCCTCTCCGCCCCGCCCCTCCCCGCCCCGCTGCAGCCGCGCACTACATACCTGTCCCGTGCCATGTGCCATGTGCAGGTGAACGAGATAAAGCGCACGCGGCTGACGGGCGGCGCGGTGACGTCGGTGGTGTCGCGGTTCGCGTCGTCGCCGCGCGGCTTCGCGCTGGACTGGGCGGCGCGGCTGCTGTATTACTGCGCGGGCGAGTCGCTGCTGGCCGCCGGGCCCGCGGGCGAGCTCGCCACGGAGCTGCTGCGCCACGCAGACCTCGCACACCTCACCGCGCTCGCCGTGCATCCGCTCAGGTGCGCACCGTTACCGTTGTCGTACCGTACTATAAAAATATACATTCCAGCGGAGGCATAGTTGAAGGTTAGCGTTGTGTCGGCAGAGGGCAGGTGTACTGGGCGCTGGGCGCGCGCGCGGCGGGCGGGGAGCGCGTGGAGGCGGCGCGCGGGGACGGCTCGGCGCGCCGCGTGCTCGTGCGCGCGCAGCACCACCCGGACTTCGCCGCTCTCACTAGTGCGTACGCGAAACTCTACTCACGCTCATACTCCTTTCACATCAATTTAAACTTATTGTACAAAAACAAAAAATATTAACTGGCCAGGCTTGGCGCTGGACGCGGCGCGCGACCGCCTGTACTGGGTGAACGCGGGCACCGCCACCATACAGTACTACGAGCTCGACTCCGGCGTCCTCGCCACCGTGAGTCTCTACACTGGCACATTATAACTCTGTTACAAAATACAAATGTCCTGAGGATAGGTCCGGTTCAAATTTACGTCTCGCTAGTGATGTTACTGTGGCCGCGACGTCGTCTGCGTAAAATTTTAAATTCGGGTAGCATTTTAATTATTTAGATTACTTATTTTATTAACACTTATATGTACATGTACAGTACATGACGACAAAACATTAGTAAGGAAGTAAGGATTAAAGCCATACTTCATTTCTATTGCATGGTAAATTATTGAATACTAATTGGACAGCTCCCGTTGGAGAGCGGAGCGCGGCCCGTGGCGGTGGAGGTGCACGCTGGCCGCGCGCTGTGGGCGGACGCGGCGGGCGCGCTGCGGGCGTGCGGCGCCACGCACTGCGACCGCCCCACCACGCTGCGCAACAACACCGGTAACACGACACACACCACACATTCTCCTAACTCATATGTTTTTTTTTATGAATAGCAATCATTTAAAACCTTTGCCTTAGACCATGTAAAATGTAGAATGTGTGCAGAGGGCGTGGTGTCGCTGCGCGTGTGGGACGGCGCGCTGCAGGCGGGGGGCGGGGCGTGCGGGCGGCGCGCGGCGGCGGACCGCTGCGCGCACCTGTGCGTGCCGCTCGACGCCGCGCTGAGCGACTGCCGCTGCGCGATCGGCTACCGGCGGGAGGGCACCGCCTGCACTCGTGAGTTTGCCCACTCAACTAAACCACCATATTACTGTTTGAAACTGACTTATAAGTAGTCTAACTATTTGTGTATTTCAGCCATCGACGAGGTCCTCGTGTATCCCCTGGACTCTGACCTGCAGGGCATCCACTTGAACGCCAGCGCGGACAACCCGGAGCCCAACCTGCTGCCGCCCATCCCCGGCCTCGCCATGGCCACCGCCATCGACTACTACGCCGGTAAGGAGGAGCGAGGAGGTAGCGAGCGTGGAGGGCGCGGTGTGCGGGCGGGAGTGACGGGTGGTTGTCGCGTGTGCAGCGGGCGAGTGGGTGTACTGGGTGGACGGCGAGCGCGAGTGCGTGTGGCGCGCGCGGCGGGCGGGCGGGGCGCGGAGACGCGTGGCGGCGGCGGGGGAGGGCGAGGGCGAGGCGCGCGCGGCGCTGGCGGCGCTGGCGGTGGACTGGCGCGCC